AGAACCCGGCTCCCAAGGAGCCGGGGGGGGCGCTGCCCTCTAGATGCAGCCAAGACCCTCCCCTGGGAGAGTCCCATGCTGGCCCCATGGCGCCAGGCCCTGCCCCACAGAGCCCACAGCCAAGGCGAAGCTCCTGTAGCTGCTTCGGTCCCATCTTGCCCCCCTCCCTCCCTTCCAGGGGCTCACAGAGTCCCAGACACCTGCAGGCCGCAGGGAGCTGTAAAACCCGGACCCTGCTTGGGCTGCTTGGAAGGTTTCCAAAGGGGAACGTTTGGCCTGTTTCCCAGCCTGGGCCCTGACCAGCAACCACACTCGGGTCCTTCCGTTCTTCGGCCACAGCCAGCAAAGCGCTACAGCCGTGTTCCCTGGAAGCTGGGTGCTTGTGCAGCCGCCCAGGAGACAGTCAAATGCCACCCAGCTGATTAGCAGAGCGCCCATAGCTAGGCTGTGTGTTTCTACTGCTGGTGCACAGCCTCAGTGCACAAAAAATTATTCCACACGTAGGTGGGAAAAAAATCCACCCCTGGGTGGAAAAGATTACAGGGAATATTGCTCTACAGAGAGATGCTGAGACACCCTGGATTATGACTCCTGCTAGCGGTGATGGGGGAATCCGTCACGCTTAGGGCTTGTTGTCTACAATCTGCAGACTCAATCTCACCCCAGATCAGCTCCCACCATCTGCAGTCCATTGACTAGGCGTAAAAAGGGGTCCGTGAAAGGTGGCTGTTTCCATTGAACGATGGTTTTCACACTGTGGTCCACGAAACCCTGGGGGTCTGCAGCCTATGGCTACCCAATGGGTAGTGATCAACGGCTCGATGTCAGGTTGGAGGTCGGTTTCTAGCGGAGTGCCCCAAGGATCGGGTTTAGGGCCGGTTTTGTTCAACATTTTTATTAATGACCTAGATGGGATGGATTGCACTCTCAGCATGGTTGTGGATGACACTAAGGTAGGGGGAGAGGTAGATACATTGGAGAGCAGAGATAGGGTCCAGAGTGACCTGGACAGGATAGAGGATTGGACCACAAGAAATCTGATGAGGTTCAACAAGGACAAGTGTAAAGTCCTGCACTTGGGATGGAAGAATCCCAAACATTGTTACAGGCTGGGGACCAAATGGCTAAGTAGCAGCTCTGTGGAAAAGGACCTGGGGATTCCAGTGGATGAGAAGCTGGATATGAGTTAACAGTGGGCCCTTGTAGCCAAGAAGGCTAATAGCATATTCGGGTGCATTAGGAAAAGTATTGCCAGCAGACCTAGAGAAGTGATTACTCCCCTTTATTTGGCTCTGGTGAGGCAACACCTGGAGTATTGTGCCCAGTTCTGGGCCCCCACTATAGAAAGGATGTGGACGGATTGGAGAGGGGCCAGCGGAGGGCAACCAAAATGATTAGGGGGCTGGAGCACATGACCTATGAGGAGAGACTGAGGGATTTAGGTTTCTTTAGTCTGCAGAAGAGAAGAGTGAGGGGGGATTCGAGAGCAGGCTTCAACTCCCTGAAGGGAGGTTCTAAAGAAGATGGAGAGAGGCTGTTCTCAGTAGTGACCGATGGCAGAACAAGGAGCAATGGTCTCAAGTTACAGAGGGGGAGGTCTAGGTTGGATATTAGGAAAAAATATTTCACTGGGAGGGTGGTGAAGCACTGGGCTGGGTTCCCTAGGGAGGGGGTGGAATCTCCATCCCTAGAGGTGTTTAAGTCTTGACTTGACAAAGCCCTGGCTGGGTTGATTGAGTTGGGATTGGTCCTGCCTTGGGCAGGGGGCTGGACTTCATGACCTCCTGAGGTCTCTCCCAGCTCTAGGATTCTAAGATTTCCAAAGGGGTCCACACCTCCATGTAGGGGTTCACAAATGAAAGGCTGAGACCCATACGACTAGGGATGTAAGCGAGTTGACTACTCGCATCCTGCCCCCCCTTGCTGCCTCTATATTAGAGGCAGCAAGGGGGGAGGGAGCAGGAGCCGGTGCTGGGGGGAGCCAGCTTAAATGATGGTTCCCTCCAGCACTGTCTATGCAGTGCTGCCTGCCCTCCCCCCCTTAGTAGGGTGGGGGAAGACAGGGGCCCAGAAGCAGCCTCTGCCCCTGGCAGGCCCAAGCTCCCCCCCTGCCGAGGGTGGGGTACATTTAAAAGGCAGAGCGACAGAGGGGTTAGCTCCTGGGCACGGTGCAAGCCGGAACTGCCTAATTCCAGCTCACGTCACCCCTGGGAGATAACCCAGCTGTGGCTCTGCTGTTTAAATGTAACAGGAGCCAGGCTACTGTCTTGCTCCTACCACATGTAAACTGCAGAGCCGCAGTGGGGGGTGGCTCCTGGATCCAGTGCGAGCCACAACTGAGGCCTCCCCCTCATGGACTAAGCGTGGAGTTGCTATGAATTCTATCAGCTACACAATTAGTTAATTACTCGCTTCCTAACGACCCTGTGTAGGACTAGACAAGCTATAGGCAATACCCGGCCTGTGAAGCTTCTGTTGGTCACGAATCACCGTTCCTGGCCCATGGGAGCCGCATCCCAGTCTAACCCTGGCGAACCACTTTCGTCTTATTGGCCACCGCAGCCCTGGAGAGCGAAACAAAAGGGCTAGTGCGATGAACCTAGTGCGTAATAAAACCTGCTGGGCCGGTGCGCTAACACAGGCAGCTGGCACTGCGCTCCAGAGCTCGCCGTTGGCTCGACTTCCTTTCTCAGCCTCCTGCAATTTTCCACCACCCTGTCACGCCCCACAGCCTGCGGAGGCTCTGCTTGCCCTGCAAACGGGGTGCTGACCCAGTGCCAGTGGGCATGCTGTGAAATTCTGGCCCAGATCCTACACGCCAGGCTGGGATCCTCCAGTCTCCTGCAGCCCTTCCCCTGGGCCTGGGCCGAGAATTCCAGCTCGCGAGTACTGTGTTGGCTGCGGCTCAGGCCCCCTGCCTTGCATGGCCACGAGGCCTCCTCACTGAAGGCTTAGCAGAGAGGTTTTGCAAGGAACACAGTCCCGATGCAGCAAGCACCATGGGAGCTGGCCGAGGGGTGGTGCTCACAGCAGTCAGGGACTGAAAGGGTGGGGAACCTTTTTGGATCAGGAGCCATGAACCTATAGAAAAATCAGTAAAAACCCAACTCCCCCCAAAAAGCAAACCAACGTTTCACAGACCTGGCCCTCGACTGAGAAACGGGGAAAAAACCCCCCGCGCCTCACTCACACAGTGCTTCAGGGATCCCTTTGCTCTCCAGCCCCCAGAGGGAAAGAAAAGGGCATCGAGGTACAGGGCTTCCTCCAGCTCCGATTAATTCTTCTGGAGGCCGGCTAGTAGATTTTGGGGTGGGACCAAAACCGAGGGTGTGTGTGCAGGAGGAAGCTGCCAGGGTATAGGTATGGTCTGGGGCTGAGGGTCTGGGTAGGAGCTAGGGTGAAGGAGTGGGCGGGGGGCATGGAGGTGGAGGCTGGCTGCTATCCCCCCCGCCCACAGCAGGGAGCTAGCACTTGTGCTCCAGCCACGTGGGGTGGTGCTCAGGTGCTGGGTTCTCCGCCCCGCCCCCTTAGGCGGTAGAGACACCAGGCATATTTCACCCCCACCAGAGCTTACTGCCTGAGTGTTTCAGGACAGGGCAAGCAGGGTTTTTGTACCAGCCCCCTCCAGAAGCTAATCAGCGAGGTCAGTGGTTTATTTCCCCCTCACCTCCATGTTAAACATACAGTAAAAATAAATAAAAACTCAGGCGTTCTCCGCCCCGCCCCCTTAGGCGGTAGAGACACCAGGCATATTTCACCCCCACCAGAGCTTACTGCCTGAGTGTTTCAGGACAGGGCAAGCAGGGTTTTTGTACCAGCCCCCTCCAGAAGCTAATCAGCGAGGTCAGTGGTTTATTTCCCCCTCACCTCCATGTTAAACATACAGTAAAAATAAATAAAAACTCAGGCGAACTGCCTGAAAACGGCCCCCGCCCAGGAAGCAAATGGGTCCACCCTGTGCCTGCAGCGCCATGACCGGCGCGGGGGGCGGGGGGGACGCGGTCAGCCAGCAGGGGGCGCCCTCAGAGCTTCTTCATGGTGCTTTCGATGTACGACTCCAGCACAAAGATGGTTTCGTCGACTTGATTCTCACTGGCGTCGATCCTACGCATTTAAGGACAAGGGGAGGGAGAGCGTCACCAGAGTAAAGCTATTTACAGCCAGTCCGGCTTTAACTCCAGCCCCCGAGGTGGGGTGGTCGCGCTGTCCCTGGGGCAAGCTGGTGCCGACAGAGTGTGAAACTCGCCCACTAACAGAAACAGCAGTCCCGCTGCCCAGCCTCCACCTAGTTCTCATTAGACCCGCTCTCCCAAGAACCCCGATTCCCCTCCTCCCCCAGCTCCGCTCACTTGTTGACGTTGCGCTTGAGGCTCTCCAGCTGCTGGCGCTCCGGGGCTGTGATCATCTCCTCAATCTCTTGCAGCTGCCCCTCCTCGGCGCCCGTGGCCTGCATGGACGCGAGGATGGCCTCCACCCGCTGCGACTTCTCCAGCAAGCGCCTGAGGGCGAGGCGGACAACTCTGAGTGGCCGGCAAGATGCTGAAGCCTGTTCCTGTCGCTCAGGAGGGGCCAGGCAAGTTGCCTCCCTGCCTCCAAATCCACCACCTCCCTTCCATGGTCCTCATGAGTGTCTGTTTCTGGGCCCTCCCCATGCCTATTACCTCGTCCCCTCACTATGCTGCCAACTCTGGGGGCAGGAGCTGCATGGGCCAAGTATCACTGCGCTGTGGCTGTGCCAGTCTGTCTCCCTGGGGCTGTTGGTACTGTTGCATCTCCCCAGAGGGGGCACCCCACTGCAAAGCCTTTCCCCAACAGCATTTACTCCTACAAGTTGAACTCTCTAGTCCAGCACGCTCTGGCCTGGCAACATCGGTGGTCCAGCAGGATTTTAGCTAGCCAGCTGTCCACTTATGGGGCTGGCCAAGTTTCCCACTGCCCTGGCTCCCAGGGTTGTGTGCTGTTATTTAGCTCTAATGTACTCCTCAATGTACTCTCAGAGCCCAGCAAGGCGTGGATGCATTGGTCATGCTGCTAGACAATATTGATCTTCTGGAGTCCGACAAATTCTCTGGTTCGGCATCGGTCAGGTCCCGAGGGAGCCGGACCAGAGAGGTTCAACCTGTAGTATGAAACCGGAGTGACCTACATTCCTTGGCTGACAGCATGGCTACATCTAACCCCACTGCAAAGCCTTTCCCCAACAGCATTTACTCCTACAAGTTGAACTCTCTAGTCCAGCACGCTCTGGCCTGGCAACATCGGTGGTCCAGCAGGATTTTAGCTAGCCAGCTGTCCACTTATGGGGCTGGCCAAGTTTCCCACTGCCCTGGCTCCCAGGGTTGTGTGCTGTTATTTAGCTCTAATGTACTCCTCAATGTACTCTCAGAGCCCAGCAAGGCGTGGACGCATTGGTCATGCTGCTAGACAATATTGATCTTCTGGAGTCCGACAAATTCTCTGGTTCGGCATCGGTCAGGTCCCGAGGGAGCCGGACCAGAGAGGTTCAACCTGTAGTATGAAACCGGAGTGACCTACATTCCTTGGCTGACAGCATGGCTACATCTAAACTGGCATGATTTCCCGCAAATGCTTTTAACGGAAAAGTTTTCCATTAAAAGCACTTGCGGTAGACAGCTGGCAAGTTTTTCTGCAAAAGCAGCTGCTTTTGCGGAAAAACTTGCCAGTCTAGACACAGCCCATGTGTCTGCCTGTCTGCACCAGGATGAACATCCCAGTATAGATGATATTTCTCTTTAACTGTCTTGCCCTGCAAAACAGTCTTCGTTGCCATCCGTCTAGCTTCGACACCTCCTGGGCACCAAGACCCAGGTGCTCAATTATTTAGGCTCCTAACTTCCAATGGTAGCTAGGTACCTAACTCCCTTTGAAGATCTGGCCCTAGCTGTCCTACTAGCTGATGCCAGGTAAGTTCCATCTTGTAGACATCTCCCATTGGTGAGTTCCCCTAGTTACGACATTCACTCCGGAGGCCTGAGCTACTTGGCTCCCGCGTGACGACTTGGGCCAGGAGCTTTCAGCCCAGGTAGTGCGACTCACTTGTTCTCCTTGGTTTCGTACTGTCGCCTTTCTATCAGGTTGGCCACGCTCTGGGGAAAGGAAAGAGAGACACAAGAAGCAGGTGTGGGAGGATGGATACAAAGGAATGACACCGTCTGCTTTAATCTCTCCCCAAAGAGGGAGCGTGAGTGGGAATAGTGGGCCCCCAAGCTGGCTCCCCCAAAGCTGGCTCCCCCAAAGCTTGCAGACAGGTCTCCTGCACCAGGAGCTGCAAAGCCGGCCAGCATCGGGGTGCGAGTGGGATGGATGTTACGGTCCCTGCTCTAGCACGGGGGGCTGGAAACGGTGCAGGAAGGCAGTGGAATCCCACCTCCCTCCATAGTACCGTCACGTGCAATTGCTGGGGATGGAACTTGAATTCATGCCGTTAAAGGCAGCAGCTGCATCTGAGAGGGTTTATCATCCATCCCAAGCAGGAACCTCCACCAGCGTGGCCAGAGGAAGTCAGAAATGCAGCCTCGGTGCTCTGAGCCCCTCTCACAAGCTAAGCAGGGCCAGGTGAGGTCCCTGCTCTGCTGACAGCCCTCCCAAGCAGGCAGACAGCGAAGCGGGAAGTGGCCTCCTGGACTGCAATGCCCCAGACCAGCAGCAGAGGGCACTGTGGTGAGCGTTCCCCTCGGTGAGCTGACAGGCAACACTGACCCACTCCCAGCTGGCTTTTTCCAGGCACCAGGGGACCAACCCCTTGCCCAGGCGGGAACGTGCCAAGGGACAGTCTGCTTCCTACGATTCTCTGCCGGGTTGCGGAAGGTCCCATGCCCTGTCCTTCGGGGCGCCTCTCACAATCAAGGGGGCTGCGTTTCAGTAGCTGATTGATCCCCCCATGTTGGTAAATCGATATGGGTGAAAGACTCTATGCGCCTGGCAATGTTTCTCTCCATGTTGTAGGGCAGTGGTCCCCAACCTTTGGGGGCTGCCGGGGGTGGGGCTGCTCACATGCCAGACACCCGGGGGCGGGGCCGCACATGCACCTGGGGGCGAAGCCACCCATATGCTGCGTGCCCGGAGCTGGCGCCACCCATGTGCCACACTCCTGGGGCTGGCGCCGCAACTGTGCTGCACACCCAGGGGTGAGGCCGCCCATACGCCGCGCGCCTGGGGCCGGAACAGACCATGTCCCATGCGCCCAGGAGCCGGCAATGCCCCTACGCCGTGCG